GTTCATGTAAAAGCAGCTCTTTAGATTAAATTTGTCCTTGAAGAGTCTCATTGCAGCTGAGGTATAAGTTTAATATAGGGGTTAAATTCACACATGATATTTCTTTAATCGAAGACCCAAAACATATTCAGAGGCAGTACTTTTTCACTTGCAATGCTGTCCTTTGTGTAAAGTGCCCGAGAGACCTGCCAGTGTGCCTGCATTTTCTTTGCTGCACCCTTTCAGCTTCATTTTCCAACAATAAACTGAATGCAGCCCAAAGTACTGCTTTGTGTGGACAAACATCACTAGACTTGCTTTAAAGCAGTTAAAATATTATTAAACCTTCGTCGCTGTCTCGTCATGTCTATTAGGTTCGGCTGTGTCTCACTCCTGTTGTGAATGTCCCTTGTTACCTTGTGTGTATATTTTTTTTTTTTTCTTTGCTTTTATTGTTTATTTTATTTTATTTTCACTTGCTACACACGGGACAGACTTGACTGGGGAAGAGAAAAGGGAGAAAGAAAGAGGGAAAGAAAAACAGCAGAGAAGAGGAACGGTGATAAAGGTCAAAAAACAAAAACAAACAGACAAAAAATACATCTATCAATCACCTGGATCACCTGTTGAGAAAGAAAAAAGAAAACAAGCAAAGAAAAAGAGCAATATAATAAACAACATCACGATGATATATGTGAATATGACAGTAAATACTAAATATTAAACATTATTGTGCAGCACATAAGATCAACAGCACACAGTGTGCTTTGAGGTAGGAGCCAAAAAGGGTGTAGTTTGTGGGTGTGATCACCCGTGTGTACACCTGTGAGCATGGACGCGCTTGTTTTTAAAAGGTTCCTTCGTGTAATGATCTGTTAGAGGGTGTGGGGGGGCCACAGCCCCGTCCTCCAGGGCATGAAGCAGGTGAAGAGGAGATCCAGGCTCCAGACATCCAGAGGCCCTCAGAGCACAAGAGACCAAGGAAGACCAACAGAGGGGCAGCCGCGCCACTGTCCCAGAAAGAGCTGAGGAGAGTCCCAGATGAGGGCTCACTCAGCAGCCGCGGAGCAGAAGCCAGGGGGGGTTGCAGTGACGCGCCCGTGAGCTCCGCCGGCAGCCAGCTGTGCCTGAGTGACCGAGCTGGATAAGATCTTGGAGAAGAAGAACAGGAATTGAGAGAATTGGTGACCAGTGATGGACATTAGACCAACTGTAAAAATTGGATGCAGTTGTTCACACTAAAACCAAACATTCACCATCTTCACTCATGCAGCTATCCCACTATCTGCAGCAGCAGAAGGCCTGCCGAGGTCGAAGCTGACTGGAACAACCAAAGTTCTTCCATGATAACAGGATTGTTGTCAGAGCTCTTTGTCCCTTCTTTAGGGCCACCTGGGTCCACTGGAGACAACTGAACTTCACTTAACCGGGCATGGTGACACTTTCTCTCAGCTGAACAAAGGATACACACACACACATGCATGGAACATGTACACTGATACTGATAAGCCCTCACTATCACCCTCTCTCCCCCGAATCCAACACCTCCTCCGATACTTACCTTCCAGCGGATCAGCTGGAGGTGCGATCAAAGATTGCAGTGGTCTCAGATCCAGCTGTACACACTGGAATATTCTCCCATGTTGCTTGTCTGTGTTTTATTGTGTTATGGTGTGTTGATATCGGTGCATTCCTGTATTATCCTTTTGTGTTACACATTTCAATGTTTTTTTTTCCCTTGCTACCTAGCCTGACCCGTCGCCCCAATGTGATGTTTGTGTATTGTATGTACGGTCGGCAAGTTCTGTCATCTCGGTTGTGGACAACTGCAACTGACAAATAAAGGCTGTCTCATCATCTCATCATCTCATCATATAATGTGTTCTTTCCTTTGTGCCTTGTCGGATTGCCTGTTTATCACTCCGGGTGTTTCATTTGCATACCTCTCCTTGTCTTCAACAGCTCGTCTTCACTCCTTCATCATCCTCTGCGCTTCCGCTGCTGATGTTTCCATGTCTCAGGTTCCTCATTCCTAGTTTCCTGCTTTGTTAATGTTTTCTGTGTTCCTCATGTTCTTTAGTTTAGCTTTTCCCAGTCTAGGTTTTGTTAGTGTTTTCAGTTCCCCCTTCGTTGTTGCTTTGTAGTGTTTTTGTTCAGCCTCTAAATAAACACCCACTTTCAGTTTAACCTCCGGCTACATCTCAGTTTTGTCTGCACTTGGGTCCACGCTCTCGCATTTCCACATGGTTTGCCTCACAAACCGTGACAGTACAATCCGACCACATAATGGACCCAGCAGACATCGAACTGCACCAGTGACAGCAGGCAGATTTTGCCCAGCTGGAAGACAAGCTCAGGGTGAAGCTATGGCTCACCCCAACTACAAGAGCATATTTCTGCTCCACCTGCTGCTCCACCAGCATCCAATCTTCGGCCGATTCAAGTGGGAGTTGGGAGGTTGCTCCATGCCCACACTCGCCAGCCTCGGCACCACCGTACTGTGCTCTGTAGGCCAAGTTGCCTGGCTTGCCAGCTTCCTCTTCCCAGTCGAAGCGGTGCTCACGCTGTCATTCCTCCGTCTCTGCTGAGCAAACAGCAGTATTGAGTGAAAATGACTGTTTTTCTCACGCTCATCCCAATCTCACAAACAAATAAAGAACAATAATCTCACTTCAGAAAATTTCAAGATTTTTATCCATGTTGAGTCAAAGTCTGTTAAGACTGTCAATCCAGAGTTTGTCAGCCACAAAGACCTTAAAAACTGTTTGTCGTGGTGGAAAAGATGGAAAACCTGTTTTTGCTTACCCTGCTCCTCTGCCTCACTGTGTTCCTGTTCTCAATGCAGCTGTGGTCCAGCTTTCACCTGCAAATTTGTTTCCCTGTTGAGGGGGACTAGGTCCCAGTTGATCCCTGCTCCACTTTCCAGGCAGGCGGCGGATTTGCTAGTCCCTGCATCCAGCTCTTCAGGTCAGGACAGCAGCAGCCCAGTCATTGGCTCCTGGTTCTTAGGGTGAGGGCAGCTCTGAACTAGCTCACTCCTATCCGGTTGTCCAGTGATGACGAGACGAATCCTACTTCCGGGCCTAAAGTAGTCTGCGTTTAATATGGCTTTTGTGTTGTTAACATGTTTAATGTTTTGTATTTTCTTCTATTTGATCTCAAAAAGCTCCTAAAACAGTCAGTGATCCCTGTTGACCTCCCTCGGCTTTTATTACCGCTAATCATTTATTTAAGCTCAGTTTTTAAAACCTTAGGATGTAGCTACAGCCCAGCCCATGCAGCAGTATATGAATGACTAACCTCGTATTGTGGATGGATTATCTCAGTTGTTCTCCTGGCTGAAGTTTGGTCCTTTTACAGCATCCTGCCATGCGATTACATTTGTTCCTGACCACCGAGAACACTCACGTTAACTTTTATCGAGTGGAAAAAAAGTTAGCTTGTTTATATTATGCTAACATAGCTGTGTCGCTAGCGGTCACGTAGCACATCATTATATACCAGCTAGCCAAACTTCAGTAACCCTACAAACTAAAGTCGAAGTCTCTGGCTTTGGTGTAGGAGCTAGCGCTGGTGGTAGCACGTCACGGTGTAACACGGAAGGGCTGTCAGAGTATCAGAAGAAAGCACTGTCGTCTATATCTAGACAGTCTCAATACGTGCAGATAGGAGGTGACGACCTCGGGCGAGAGAGCGAGTGGGAGAGCACGCTCAAGATGAACCCGTACCCTCTGAGGGTGCGCATAACCCCGATTTTCCACATAAAGGGTATATCTCAGACTGCTGTCGAGTTGCTAAAGCACAAGCTTCAGAACGTTGAGCTCTACCCAGATGAGTTTTTAGCCGAGCAGGTACCGGACATAGTGACAAGGCGTTGCTGATGGGGGGGGGAGAAGGGGATATTTCATGCTCTTTTCATGCAGTGTGTGTATATTTTTGTAAAAGCCACCACCACGATAAGTCTATTTTACTTGTGATATAAAATTGTATATGTAACCTCAACATGCTGATGTATTCGTGAATAAACAAACGTACACTGTGATCGTGTACGGGGTTTTCATTTGACATTTGGTGTATAAAGGAATCAAACCCAGCTCAGTGTACGATTGAGTTTTCAACACAAACAGTGTAAAACACCACACGATAACAGTATGTTTCCACCTTTATTGTACTGCACAGATACCACATTATCCACACAACAAGGACAGAAACAGACTCCTAATATCGGTCGACATCTTGTATATCCATTTGGTGAAGAACACCGACTCTCAGCACACTGTCTTCATAAACAGTTCTGTCAAAACAATCTTGCGTGTGATGGCAAACTATCTAATGTAGCTGGCCCACCTAACTGAACATGGCCACAGAACAATTAAACTGAGAATACCCAATCACCCCACCGATCCCCATTAGAATAGAATAGAATAGAATAGAATAGAATAGAATAGAATTCAACTTTATTGTCATTGCACATGCACAGGTACAGGGCAACGAAATGCATTTTGCATCCATCCAGAAGTGCTTTAGTGATATAGATATATTACAATATATATTAGCAATAGTATAGATATGTAAGTATATTACAGAAATGGGTCTATTATGGTATGTTATAATGTACACGGTATGAAGTATGTTGTGAATATTCTATAACTAAGTATGTACAGGCTGTAGTGAGTACAAGCTATGAACAGGATATGAACAGGATATAAATATGAAAAACTATACAGAATATGAAATAAATAACTTTACAGAAATCTGAGATATACAGTTATACAGAAATGGGAACTATGCAAGTTGTAAACAGTTGTAGGATTAAAGATTATTGAATGTACAGAATGATTATTTACACAGAGCTATACAGTAGTGCAGTTAAGATAAGTGAGGGTGTAGATAGTTTCTACAGAGGCTATATAAAGTGCTAGTGGTTGTGAGTGGTGGTTCACTCCATGTTATTATTGTGTGTTTGAGGGTACAGTTGTCCATTGTGTGTGTGTATGTTCAGTCCATGAGTTTAACGTGGGTCAGATGTCAGGAGGCACGTAAGAGGACAAGCATGCTCCTGCTCCAAATAGTCCCAGAGACGTAAGACCGAAGAATCTACACCATTCCCTTGTCTTAATAATCTCTTCGTGCTCTTTTCGCATTTGGTCTTGCTCTTTCCTCTTCCGCTCCCTGTCTCTTTCGAGTTTCTTCTGCGCTGCCTTGTACATATCGTTGCTGTAGTGCTCACCTCCGTTGAATTCTACCATGTCCTCTATTTTACTCAACAGAGTATCCACTTGGGTTTGGTTTACTCTCTGAGTGTTGCTCAGCGTGTGGTACCTTCCGCCACACTGGTTTATCACTCTTTGTAGCTCTTTGCTTTCCTTCACGTAGTCTCTCACCGATTTACCCTTTAGCGAGTCACCGTGTGTAAACAAGACCAAGGTGTACGTGAAAGCGTCTTCTCCGAAATTGTCTCGAATCCACTTTATGCTGCTCCGCTCCTCTTGTGTGAACCTAGACTTTAGACTGATTACCAAAAGGAATCCGTGCGGTCCGGGTACCGACTGTTCGACACACTCCTCGATCTTGCTTTTCACATCGTATTGGGTTTTGGTTGTGTCAAACAACCCCGGAGTGTCGATCACAGCGACTTTGGCGCCGTCTCTGTCCACCTCCTTCTTCGCACAGCCAACGGTGACGGACTCGGGTGACATGTCCTCCTCGAAAGCGTTGCTATCGCCGAGTATAGTGTTACCAGACGCGCTCTTGCCAGACCCGGTCTTGCCCACGAGAATCAATCTGACGTGCGGACGGGGTGGAGAACCTGCGGGTGACATTCGCATTCTCGTAAAGACTCCTATGGACAGCAATGCATTCATTGTTTGGTGTGTTGTTGTGCGATAACAAGGCCATTTTTACACCCACCTTTGTCATTCTTATGCTGACACAGAGCGACGTGTCTGCTTAGTGTGAGTGACAAAACAACTATGAAGGAGATAACTGTTGCCATGTTTCATGCTCGCCGTGAGAGACGCAGTAAGCCGCGCATAAACTAGGAGTAGCTGGAAGGGGTACTTTGATAATACGTGCTTTTTCGTGAGAACGCCTGAGAACGCATGTACCCTTGCGCTCGATGATGAGCGAGATGACATGGGATAGAACGTTCAAACTGTACAAGCCTTTGCTCTACAATGGCAGCACGTACTGCCATTACATGGATCGTGAACATCAACTGTGTACAATGCAAGCAATAAAATAAACGACACTCTGTGTGTGTGTGTGTGTGTGTGTGTGTATTCATCCTTCATTTATTGTTATTTCACGTTCAAAACACCTATACACAACAATACCATAACGGGTTCAATTAACACGGTGTGTTCTGTTGAAACCTTGACACATTTCAAACGCTATCCGTCATTCCACCGTAACCTCTCGTGGCGGACACAGAGTCTTGTTTCTTTGGTGCATTACACGTCCAATAGCAACTGTGACGAGAACAACGATCACACCCAAGCTCAATCCAATTATTAGTCTAACATATCTGGTCTGCTTGCCGCCTGTGTGATCTCTAGGGACAACTATCAGCTTGAAAATGCCAATAGTTTCCACGGCTCACTTTGTACGAGATCTTCGTGTGGTCAGAACAGAACAGCTGTACGTTCCCGCATCACCAAATGTCACATTCTGAAGAATCAAAGACAGGTCTCCCTCGTTCATTCCTCTGTCTTGTAAATCCACTCGCTCCTTGAAGGATGGGTGTTGGCCGTCTGGTACAAAACAGTCGTCACGATACAGAAGCACATATTCAGCACGCATCAGATCAGTTCTCGTCCACTCTACGCCCACAATGATGGTCCTCGTGTATGAACATCGACACGGTAGAATCACAACCCCTTGTCCGCTCTCTGCCGTGACAACAGTGGGATCGTCCGTGGCGTTGATCAGTTGACAGCACACAACGACAATCACAAAGGGTAGCATTCCGATGGTGCGTACGTTCTCCCGTGTCGCCGCCGGATTCAAATGTGTTGTTTATGTTTCCTGTGGGGTAGACACTGTCACACACATCGCACTACATGCATACCGTCGTTACAATGCCAGGTACTCATCGACTCACCGTACGCCATCCCAGGGTGGCGTTCCCCGACTCTAAGATCGACAAACTCTCTAGACTCTACAGCCCCAGGCTAGACAAAAATTATGAAAAGGCACGTGCTCTCGAACTCAATGACGACCAAGATGACCGCGGACGAGAAGCCTAAACTGTACACGTTACTGCCGTATATAAAGCTTTTGGAGGTGGAAGACCTGGGTGCGCTGAGCACGGACGGGTTTCAGCTGTGTCAGTTTTGGTCGAGATATTACACGAACAGGGATTACGTGTGCTGGCCGTGGTACGTGCAAGTGGATCGCAGCGCTGACTTAGGGTGGACGTTGACCCTTTTGATGGAAGACGACACGATGGATGTAGAGCGCTTCACTGAGCAGTTGTGGAAAGCTTACAAAGAATACTTCACGCTCAGCTGGATACCAGGAGAGGCAGATCGACACACCGACTGCCGGTTTGAAGACAACCGCTGGAAACTCGTAAGCGCAGCGATCGACAAAGACCTACGGGAGTTGGTGGGTGACCGCTTTAGTGTGGTGCCTCGTTTAGGTGATGTTTTCCGTGAGACGGAATCGCAGCAAGCTACTTGCCTGCTGTGGTGAGTGAAGCGTGTCCACAATTGAGCTGTGCTGTGTGTAACATACAACAACGACAACACCGGCTATGGTGCTTATGAAAGCAATGATAAACCTACTAAGAATGTCCTTTGTGTAACATGCAGTGTACCTACACAACTTGTAAACATAAACATCGGACCACACTAATAAAAGAAACCACACAAACCACACTGTGTGTGTGTCACCTTGATTTTATTTGCTGTTGCCAACATTCACATTCACAATAACATCGGGAGCGACATATACATTTCACTGGTTACGGTGCGCAGTCTACGAGTCTGTAGCTCGAAACACTTTATAGCCTTTCCATTCGTCCGTCAGTCCGTATATGTGCATGTTATGTGACATGAGTATCAGGCCTACTGTGCTTTGTAGCAACTGGTATGTCTGGATCACTAAGCATCTTGCGTATTGTGCCGACCTGGCTACACTATCCAGCCGACCAGGCTACATTTTCCAGCCGACCTGGCTACATTTTCCAGCCGACCTGGCTACATTTTCCAGACGACCTGGCTACACTATCCAGCCGACCTGGCTACACTATCCAGCCGACCTGGCTACACTATCCAGCTGACCTGGCTACACTTGCCAGCCGACCTGGCTACACTTGCCAGCCGACCTGGCTACATATTCCAGCCGACCTGGTTACACTTTCCAGCCGACCTGGCTACATTTCCAGCCGACCTGGCTACATTTTCCAGCCGACCTGGCTACACTATCCAGCCGACCTGAATACATTTTCCAGCAGACCTGGCTACACTATCCAGCCGACCTGGCTACACTTGCCAGCCGACCTGGCTACACTTGCAGGCCGACCTGGCTACATTTTCCAGCCGACCTGGCTACACTATCCAGCCGACCTGGCTACATTTTCCAGCCGACCTGGCTACAATTCCAGCCGACCTGGTTACACTTTCCAGCCGACCTGGCTACACTTTCCAGCCGGCCTGGCTACATTTCCAGCCGACCTGGCTACATATTCCAGCCGACCTGGCTACATTTTCCAGCCGACCTGGCTACACTATCCAGCCGACCTGGCTACATTTGCCAGCCGACCTGGCTACATTTTCCAGCCGACCTGGCTACACTTGCCAGCCGACCTGGCTACACTTTCCAGCCGACCTGGTTACACTTTCCAGCCGACCTGGCTACACTATCCAGCCGACCTGGCTACACTTGCCAGCCGACCTGGCTACATTTTCCAGCCGACCTGGCTACACTATCCAGCCGACCTGGCTACACTTTCCAGCCGACCTGGTTACATTTTCCAGCCGACCTGGCTACATTTGCCACCCGACCTGGCTACACTTGCCAGCCGACCTGGCTACACTATCCAGCCGACCTGGCTACACTTTCCAGCCGACCTGGTTACATTTTCCAGCCGACCTGGATACACTTTCCAGCCGACCTGGCTACACTTGCCAGCCGACCTGGCTACACTATCCAGCCGACCTGGCTACACTTTCCAGCCGACCTGGTTACATTTTCCAGCCGACCTGGCTACATTTGCCAGCCGACCTGGCTACATTTTTCAGCCGACCTGGCTACACTTTCCAGCCGACCTGGATACACTTTCCAGCCGACCTGGCTACATTTTCCAGCCGACCTGGCTACACTATCCAGCCGACCTGGCTACACTATCCAGCCGACCTGGCTACACTTTCCAGCCGACCTGGCTACACTATCCAGCCGACCTGGCTACACTATCCAGCCGACCTGGCTACATTTTCCAGCCGACCTGGCTACATTTTCCAGCCGACCTGGCTACACTTTCCAGCAGACCTGGCTACACTATCCAGCCGACCTGGCTACACTTGCCAGCCGACCTGGCTACACTTTCCAGCCGACCTGGCTACACTTGCCAGCCGACCTGGCTACATTTGCCAGCCGACCTGGCTACATTTTTCAGCCGACCTGGCTACACTTTCCAGCCGACCTGGATACACTTGCCAGCCGACCTGGCTACATTTGAGAGCCGACCTGGCTACACTATCCAGCCGACCTGGCTACACTATCCAGCCGACCTGGATACACTTTCCAGCCGACCTGGCTACACTATCCAGCCGACCTGGCTACACTATCCAGCCGACCTGGCTACACTTGCCAGCCGACCTGGCTACACTTTCCAGCCGACCTGGCTACACTTTCCAGCCGACCTGGCTACACTTGCCAGCCGACCTGGCTACATTTGCCAGCCGACCTGGCTACATTTTTCAGCCGACCTGGCTACACTTTCCAGCCCACCTGGATACACTTTCCAGCCGACCTGGCTACACTATCCAGCCGACCTGGCTACATTTGAGAGCCGACCTGGCTACACTATCCAGCCGACCTGGCTACACTTTCCAGCCGACCTGGATACACTTGCCAGCCGACCTGGCTACACTATCCAGCCGACCTGGCTACATTTGAGAGCCGACCTGGCTACACTATCCAGCCGACCTGGCTACACTTTCCAGCCGACCTGTACACTTTCCAGCCGACCTGGCTACACTATCCAGCCGACCTGGCTACACTTTCCAGCCGACCTGGCTACATTTGAGAGCCGACCTGGCTACACTATCCAGCCGACCTGGCTACACTTTCCAGCCGACCTGGCTACACTATCCAGCCGACCTGGCTACATTTGAGAGCCGACCTGGCTACACTATCCAGCCGACCTGGCTACATTTTCCAGCCGACCTGGCTACACTTTCCAGCCGACCTGGCTACATTTTCCAGACGACCTGGCTACACTATCCAGCCGACCTGGCTACACTATCCAGCCGACCTGGCTACACTATCCAGCTGACCTGGCTACACTTGCCAGCCGACCTGGCTACACTTGCCAGCCGACCTGGCTACATATTCCAGCCGACCTGGTTACACTTTCCAGCCGACCTGGCTACATTTTCCAGCCGACCTGGCTACATTTTCCAGCCGACCTGGCTACACTATCCAGCCGACCTGAATACATTTTCCAGCAGACCTGGCTACACTATCCAGCCGACCTGGCTACACTTGCCAGCCGACCTGGCTACACTTGCAGGCCGACCTGGCTACATTTTCCAGCCGACCTGGCTACACTATCCAGCCGACCTGGCTACATTTTCCAGCCGACCTGGCTACAATTCCAGCC